GCATTGTTTAGACTAGATTTTCAATGGCATTTTTTTGCCTGTAATGTGCAGTATAGCAATATAGCTTTCGCTGTTGCTTTAGTTATGCTTCATGTAAGATGTAGATGTAGGTATGTTGCATTCACGATATATTTGTATTAGTTTTCTATGGACTACTGTTCATTGGTGCTGATTTTGTGAAGAATTTTTGAAGTGTTCAGGATTCATACTTACGTTCTGTAAATAACTAACATAACTTCTGTTTTAATGCCCTTGTGAAGAAGATTTAAATTACCTTTTCAAATTGTGATTTAGTATATTAAAAATTAGACGCTTTTACTAACCTTTCTTTGTTACGGAAACATGTTCTATATAAGGGATTTTAACGATGCTGATTATCTGTGGGAATTGTTTTGAATGTGCAAAGGGAGAGATTAAAAATTTTTTATACTTAATTGAAAATGGTTCATTAGAATTGCGTGGAAGTTGTAGAAGTATCAATTTTCTGAAAGGTGAAAAACAATGTATTTTTGAAATGACTAAGTCTTTATCATTTGTAGAAAATGGGAGGGTTATTGAAAAATTCTAAATTTCAGTGTTTATTATACATTTTAATTTGTAATGTGTTCTTTAAAATTTGGAAGTAATTTTAGGACATCACTTATTAAAGAACTGCAGCCCATTGAGTTTTGAATACTTTTTTTTGGCTTTCCGGTAGGTAATCTATTATCAATGATTGGACATACAAAACAGCTCTGAAAGTATATTCACCTCCATTTGTATATAAATTTATTGATATCCTATATTGTAATGGGTTTAAAAATATTATAACTTGTTATCTTAAAGTGTCTGTTCTTGTTCATTCATACTTGTTCTATTTGACCCTTTAGTTTTTTTAATAGATCTTTATTTTACTATCGTAGTGTTTACATAATAACACTATGTAACATTCTGTAATAGGTTTTATTGCGACAGTTGTGAGGAACTCTTTGTCCTCGTCATCAGGCTATAAAAAATGTTTACATTGACAATGGATAATCTCAGGTTAAGTACATAAATATAATAGAAAATACATATTAAACTGAAAATTACTCTATAAATATACAAAGCATACCTTTTTAGAAGTAGAACTTAATCATAATCTCTGTAATGCTATTCAAATTTCCATTCTCACCAAGGTACATATGTACAGTGGCACGACATATTTGTGGAAATTATTTACGTGCCATGTAGACTACAAAGGCTCTCTATTCTCGGCAGGGAACATGCAAGGAGTGAGAAGGAAGTGAGTAGGGGGATACATTTTTCGACAATTGAATGGTATCCTATTGGTGGAAGCCCCCATAGAGTAATCAATTTACCAATGTAAGTTTTCAGTAATGGGTGGTTTCGATATACACCTAAATTCATTTGTTACATGACCACCCCAAAACTTAAATTTGATATTCAGAAATTGGATAGTAAACTATTTAAGCATGTTACTTCGTTACAAAGGAAGATTCTTAATCTTTGCATAGCTGAAAAATTTAAAATAAAGAAAAAATTACAAAGTGTATTGAAACTTGTAGAACTCAACCTGGCATTTTTTTATGAGTCCTAGTGTGTTTGATATTTTTTTTATATCACAGAAGATACAATTAGATAGACTCTATTCTTTGGATTTAGCCAAAAAGGATAGGTAATTTAATGATCTCCTAACTGAGAATAAGCTTTAACGTGAGAACAATGAACATGGATATAAACAGTTTTATTACTTAACTAATACAACAATATCAGTAGGAGTAATTGAGACTGTGAATCTGGTAGAAAATTCAGTTTTCCTGTGGAGAATCATGATAAACGAATTGAGTTCATCAAAGACTTGGAAACTAATTTATTTGAAGTACCTGAAATAGCTCGGAATACTATGAGGTGTTCCATGTCTAGTAGGTTGTCAAAATTTATGGTCCTCTGAAGTATAATAAACAAGAACGCATTATCATACAAAATTTACATTGTACTGAGAAATTTTTAGCACCCTGATGTTAAGATTATTCAGTGTGACAAAGGAGGAGCATACGCAGCTATTATAAGGGAAGATTACGTAAAGAAGGTAGAAGAACATTTTTCTGATAGTGTAAAATTTCCCATTAAAAATAAACCTTCTGTTAATAACTATCTCAAGGTCATTCAAAACTGGATAAAAGAATGGAAAGTAGTTCATGCATAACAGACAAGGAATATTACCAAATGTACCCCACCACTCTGAATGGAGCATATGGACTAGTTAAAGTCCATAAACTAAATTTACCCATCAGACCAGTAGTATCGTCCATAGGCACTGTAGATTATCAAATTTTTTAAACCAAATATTGAAACCAGTTGTAGAGAAAGATAATACATATGGAATAAAAAATAGTTTTGACCATTTAAAGAATTTAAATAATATAAAGATAAATTCAAACCTGAGAATGGTCTCATTAGATGTAATAGCTACGTACACTTCTATTCCCCATGAACTAATATTTACTGCAATTGAAGATGGAATAACTAGTCACTCAAAGATTCTGAAAATTCCCAATGAACAATTACTCATAGCTATTAGAGCTATTTTTAATCACAAAGAATTTAAATTTAATAACTATATATATTTTTAAGAGTGGCACACCTATTCCACGTCCATGGAGTTCCTTGGAGTCCATGGAGTTCCTTGTTTGGTGAATTTGTTATGAGGGAACTAGAACAAGAAGTTCTTAAAAATGTGGAGTATGAGTTGTAACATAGATATGTGAATGATACCTTAATCATTCTACCTGAGAAGTCAATAAACACTGTTTCACAAAACTTAAATTCTTACAACGCTGGTATTGAATTCACATCGGAAGTTGAACATGAATCGTATATTAATTTTTTGGATGTATCCATCTTTCAGAATGAAACCTTTGTGACTACTAACTGGTATATTAAACCAAAATATTCTGGCCTAACATTAAACTTTTTATTTGGCCATCCTGTTGCAGTGAAGAGGGCAGTTGTATTTCATCTAGTGGACAGAGCATTAAAACTTTCTGCTCCACAATTCCACCAAAGTAATTTGATGAAGATAAAAGAAATCCTATACTTAAATAAGTACCCATCTAAATTTGTACATAAATATATTCAACAAAGGGTTAAACTATCAATTCTAATTCAAAAAGTATAATTAATCCCAACATGAGTAATTCATAAAAAAATTTCAATTTCATTAGTTTACCATTTATTCCTAAGATTAATAAAGGAATAAAATATCTAAATTCCAAATTTAACCTTAAATTATACAATAGTGTTATGAATAAAAAATAGATAGTAAAAAATGTTAAACATAAACAGGAGAAAAATGATTTATAAAATGTGATATATAGAATATGGTGTCAACAATGCCCCAAAGTATACATTGGACAAACCATGAGGAAATTAAAATTAAAGAGTATCTTATTCCACCAATAGGAGGATACCATTCAAATTGTCAAAAAATTTATCCCCCTACTCCACTTCCTTCTGACTCCTTGCATGTTCCATGCCGGGATTACAGAGCCTTTGTAGTCCATATGGCGTGTAAATAATTTCCACAAATATGTCGTGCCACCGTACATATGTTACCTTGGTGCGAATGGAAGTTACAATAGCATTGCAAAGATTGATTAAGTTATACTTTTAAAAAGGTATGCTTCATACATTTATATTGAGTAATTAGTAGTTTACTATGTAATGTATTAAGTTGTCTATTTTGTATTACATTTATGTACTTAACCTGAGATTATCCATTGTCAATGTAAACATTTTTTATAGCTTGATGATGAGGACAAACAGTTCCTCAAAACTGTTGCAATAAACTTATTACAGAATGTTACATAGTGTTAAGTAAACACTACAGCAGTAAAATAAAGGTCTGTTATAAAACTAAGGGGCCAAATAGAACAAAGTTTAAAAATATTAGTGTCATTAATACATCTAATACACTGTCCACATAAGAAATTTATAGGAATGGCCCATTATTAAGATAACTTTTACATGTGCCTCAACTTATTGTAGTTTAAAACAACTAATAATGTTCATCCCGGTTTTGTTGCATTGTAGCAGTATTAAATGTAAAGATTATCTCTACAAATTCTTAAAAATGTAGAGACTCAAAATCAATTATTCTGTATGTCCTAAAACAATTTTGTTCCATAAAAAGAAATTTGTTTATGTTTTACTGTGAGACCAATAATTTATTTTTCTTAGAACTTTTACTTTCTTACAATAATAGATTTTACTGGAATCAGATTTGTTCTGTACTTTTTCTGAAATTTGTGTTTAAAACTATGCATAAATAGTTCATTTGCAGGCTAAATGCAATAGATGTAGTTGTTTAAATAAGATCATTTTTATTCCTTTAGAAATTTATCATTTTTAGAAACTTTAGAAGTGTGGGTCTTCTTTCGTATTTGTTTGGTTTTGTATTTTCTCTAATACGGGCACATTGAATTGTTCTTTCAAATATTTGTGAGATAATTATTAGGAAGTGGAAGTGGACATGTATAGCGAAACATTGGTTCTTTAATGTTTCACAGCTTCCGTTATGCTCTGAATGTATGGATTGAAGTAGTGAACTTATTTTTTT